GGCAGCCGATGGCACGATGCAGCCTCTGTGCCCTGTGAGCAGCGACCGCAAAACCAGCTCTCTTTTTTTGGAAGGCACCCTGGGTGCAAAGTCCTGCCAAAACCCAGCTGTCCGTCAGCCGCTTCATCTCCCTTTGGAAGGCAGCCATGAGGCAAGTGAAAACATCCCACAGCCGGAGCCATCCCTCGCACACACGGGTCCTCCTTGCACGACTGCAAGACACATCTGGATCACTCCGGCATCTCCCGCTTGCTCAATCCCCTTTAGGGATCATTCAGCCAGGCTGTCCCGCTCACCTCGCACTGCAGCGGGGAGCGTCCAGCTGCTCCTCCTACTGCAAACCCGAGTTGTGCAACTGCTGTGGGAGTAGGGTGGCTGGGTCGGGCTGGGACTGGACGAGGGGAGTCTCCCCCCCCCCCCAACGGCTGCCAAAGTGCCACGTCTCGCCTATAAATCAGGAGCAGGAGAGGCTCGACCCACAGCAGCGGTGAGACGGAGCGTGGGCGGCCAAGGCTGGGAGGTAAGGCGAGAGCCAGCGGCGCGTCCCCAGGGGTCTGTGAAACCTTTCCATCCCTCCTTGCCCCATGGAAAAACCCCACAGCTAACCTCTGAGGTTAGCTGCTACCAATACCTGCAGGGACAGCATGGGGAGCTGGCAGCAATGGGCACGGGGTGGCCAAGGCAGTGATTCCTGGATGTTATTTCTAGCTTCCCTGCAAAAGGGTGGGAAATTAAATAGCACACGCAGCTGGGAGATGTTGGTGATATAAGTTAACTCCCAATATGCAAAAAAAACAACACCCACTCAAACCAGTGAAACAATGAGCAGCGCATACTAGCACTTTCTGCGTTTAAAAAGGGAAAAAGTCCAGTTTTCATTCCAACCTTGGGAAGCCGAGCATTCGTTGGGTGCTGCCTTCCTACTGAAAGTTGAAATTGTTCACAGGGAATTTGGTGTTTTGCAGAAAAAAACTGTGCCTGACCCCACCCCAGTTTTCTACTGAAGACTTCCCTCCGACCTCCCCCCCCCTTTTCTGGCAAATGCACGATCCCCTGTGTCTGGCAGAAGCTGAAAGTGCTTTTCGGGGCAGGGGAGGGGGTGCCCCCCCAGCCATAGCACCGGCCTGGTATGCCAGGTTAATAACTCAGCCGAGCAGGGTGCTCCTTGCAGTGCACGGCTTAAACCAGGGGTTGCACCAGCCCCCAGGGTACCTGTGTGGTGGTCCCCACTCTGGCAATGTCCACCTTGAGCCACAACACCTGCCTGTTATCCCTTGTTTCATTGTCCAGTGCTATTGGGAAGGGTTTGGATCTATCACCTACCCCCCGGGAGCCTTGTAGGGGTGGACAGGAGTGGACGTTGACCCTGGGGCTGCTGCCTTTCAAGCCCTGGCGTTGAGCCATTTGCAGCCCTGCAACAGTCTGTCTGTCCAGCCCAGACCTCTCCAGCCAGGCGGATCTGGGACACGGACACAAAAGCACCCCTAAAGCCACGATGTGCTACACCCGCAGCCCCTTCGCTGGCTTCCGTGGCTGTGTCCAAGTCAGCAGCATCTGCCCCGGGGACAGGACTCAGTCAGTGATGCAGAGACTGAACAGTCCCAGTGCACCCTTTGTTTTCTTTTCGAAGTAAGGCAGGGGCAGATCCCCAAAGATAAAATAGAAATATTTGCAAGACCGATAAGGAGGGATAGTTTAAACACCACTTGTAAACAAAACCTGGCAGTGATTTGTGACTTAACGATATACTTTCAAAACGAGTTTCCAGGTCATCCGCGGAGTTTTGAAAGCAGCCTGGTGAGCACACTGTAAAGGTGGATGGATTTATTTAAAAAAAAATAAATAGAGATAATGAAAATTTAAAATCATGTAATCTAACTTGTAAATTAAGAGCCCAGAATGCTGGTAAAGGGGATGAAGGTTTGGGGATGGCATAGAGAGAAACCCCCCATAGAGGCTGTGTCAGCAGCTGCTTCCTGAGAGCATGGTGACCATCTGCGGGGTTTCTCCCAGGTTAAGCCCCGTTCACAGCTCGGGTGCCTGGCAGAGATGGCAAGGATGAGAGTGGCGGTGGTGGGCGCGGGCATCAGCGGGCTGACAGCCACCAAGTGCTGCCTGGATGAAGGGCTGGAGCCCACCTGCTTCGAGCAGAGCCAGGACATCGGCGGGCTCTGGCGCTACACGGTGAGCTGGCAGCACCCATACCCCTTTTCTGTGGGAGCTGCAGCTTTTCAGGCTGGGGAGCGGGTCGAGCCAGGCTCCAGCAGGAGCGAAGGGGTGCGAGAGCTTGCTGGGTGCTGACCTCTCCCAGCTGCGCTTCCCGAGACCAGGGGAAGGGGAGTGGGAGGATGGTCCCCGCCCCGGGCACAGGGCTGATGCACCCCGGGGTGCCATGCCAGGAGCACATCGAGGCCAGCCGGCCAAGCCTCTACCCATCGGTCATCAGCAACACCTCGAAGGAGATGTCAGCATTCTCCGACTTCCTCTACCCTGAGGACTTCCCAGTGTTTCTGCCCAACGCCCGGCTCCTGGACTACCTCCGGCGCTATGCCAAGCAGTTTGGCATCGGGGAACACATCAAGTTTGGGGTGAGTGATGGGTGCCTCCATGCTGCTCCACTCCCCGCGCACACCAGGAGCCGGTGGTGACCCCTCTTGGCTCTTATGTTTCAGACCACTGTTGTCAGCATCCGGAAACGCCCTGACTTTGCTACCACGGGCCAGTGGGATGTAGTTACGGAGGCGGATGGGAAGCAGATGTCGCACATCTTCGATGCTGTTATGGTTTGCAGTGGCAATCTCTATGAGCCATCCCTGCCCCTGCACTGTTTTCCCGGTACAGTAAGCTGTTACCTGCTTCCAGGGGCTGGCGGGAGAAGGGTTAGGAGTTCCTCAGGGAAAACTCTTCTTTCTCTTGCTTTTGCTTTTCAAACTCCCTGGCATGGGCAGCAATACATTCTCATGCTTCAGCAGCTTTGTCTTTGTAGACACTGGCCACTTCAGAGCAAACTTCCAAGGCAGGATGGTTTAGCCTTGGAGAAACTATCTGCACAGCATGCGAGGTGGGACAAGGTCCTCTCAGTGAAGCTCCATCACTTTTGGCAGGGCTGAATTCATCATTGCTGTGACAAATCTCCCCAGTTGTCAGCATGGAGAGGGTTGCCTTCTCATCAGTGTTATCAGGTGCTCCTGAAGCTGCTCATAGGAGAGAACAGTTTTACTGGCTTTTCTGAACTTTTGCATCCTCATCTCGTAAAGGCCAAATCCCGAGAGTGCACCAGCACAGCTCTTGCACGTAACTGTCTTCCGAGTCCCACTCAGCATGTGTCCCTGCTCGCTGCCACACAGGCATCTGCGAGATCCCATTTTAGAGAGGAAGCACCACGTCTGGGTGTGTGGGATGGAAGGCTGGACCTCCCCGAGTCCCCAGGGGCCACTGATTGTGCTTCCTCACCCTTGCCATCTGGATTGTTTCTACCCCAGTTCTCCCAACAAAACCCACAAATGTTCAAATAATTAAAAACTCTGTTTCTCCTTCCCCAAGGCATCGAGAGGTTTCAAGGCCAGTACTTTCACAGCCGGCAGTACAAGCACCCCGACATGTTTCAGGGGAAGCGCGTCCTCGTGGTCGGCATGGGCAATTCCGGAGTAGACATCGCGGTGGAGGCCAGCCGCGTAGCCGCAAAGGTACCACCCACCACCCAGCCACCCCAGGGGTGCATGGAAGGGTGATGCTGGGGGCAATAGCTCAGTTTGCCATCACTGCAGGGAGAGCACGCTGGGTTTACCCTGTACAGTGCCCAAACAGTATTTCTGAACGTGTATTTCTTGGTCAAAAACCTACCCTGAAAGCAATCTGGTTGTTCTCTTCTCTCCTGTTTCACATCCATCTCCAGCTGCTGAGAGGTCTTAAAGACGCTGTTGCTGCTTTTTCATGGCATAGCTGTCGGCACTGTGCCCCTCAGGGGTTACTTTACAAAGGCAAAGCAGCAAATTCATCACCCGAATTGTTGATTCTCCGCTCTCTCCCAGGTGACTGTTAGCACCAGCCGAGGTGCCTGGGTGCTTAGCCGTGTGTTTCAGCATGGCTACCCATGGGACATGGTTTTCAACACTCGCCTTATGAACCTGATCAGAAATAGCCTCCCCGGACCCCTTTCACGTGGGTTGGTTAACTACATGGTGAACCAGTACTTCAATCATGAAAACTATGGCCTTCAACCAGAGAAGAGGTACTTCTTGGTGGCTCCCATCCTACATGGTGTCACAGGGCTTGTGCTGAGGGCAGGAAGGAGATCTCCAGCAACCAACATCAGCCAATGCAGCAACCAATGCCTAGACTGGGGTGATCTCCAGCGGGGAATTCATAGCCCAGCAGAAGAAGATAAGCTGTAGCCCTCTTAGGTGGTGTGAGATGGAGCACGCTGGAAAAGCCCAGGAAGGATCAAAGGGGTTTTTCTCATGGGGATCCCTGGGAAAAGAGGAGGAGAGAGGCTTAAAGCATGGATCAACTCTGAAAAGAGACGATTTAAAGAGTAATTGAGTGAATGGAGGAAGAAGGCAGGTGATGTTCACAAGTCAGGCAGGATGTGGGACAGGGTAATGTTGCTGCAAGTGTGAAACACGTCAGTGTTTGGAGAGGGGGGATGTAGGGCTACTTGCTCAGAGCAAATGACACAGGGAGGTAGTGGGGCTGGAGGGCCCAGCGGGAGGAGGAGCAAGAGCACTGGCAGGTCTTTTTGTGGTCTCCAACGCTCAGAGCCCCTTGGCTCTCCACAGCTGCCTGATGCGCGAGCCCGTGCTGAACGACGACCTTCCAAGCTACATCCTGACGGGGAGGATCACCATCAAGCCAGGCGTGAAGGAGTTCAAGGACAACTCAGTTGTTTTCCACAGTTGCCCTGAAGAGGAGCCCATCGATATCATTGTCTTCTGCACGGGCTACAACGTCTCCTTCCCATTCCTTGAAGAAGCAGACGTCAAGGTGGAAAACAAGCACGCATCCCTCTACAAATATGTGTTCCCGACCCACCTGCAGAGGCCCACCCTGGCCGTCCTTGGGTTGATCAAGCCATTAGGAGCCATCATGCCCGTGACAGAGATGCAAGCACGCTGGGTGACTCGCATCTTCAAAGGTAGGAGAGCAAGCATGAGCTCTCCTGTGTACCAAACCCCAGTTCAGACTGAACATGTCTTGTCCTCTCTGTGTGCCAAGAGGGATTTCTGTCCCTGGAGACCCCAGAGCTAAGAAGCTCACTTTAAACTGGACAAGGGAGTGTTCTAGGGCTCAGACTTCCCAAGTTATTTCACTTCAGCTGAGCTACAGCAATATGAGTGCACACTTGGTCCAAGCTACATGCAAGTTTTTGACATCTACCTTAAATATTTTTTCTTCCTCCATTAAGCTGCTGGTTTTAAGCTAATGCTTTGAACCTCGTCTGCTGCAAGCCAAGAACATGCGCTCCATTCCTTACTGTGACTCAGCTGATGTACAGTCCTGCACCTGAGCCTACAAACCAGGGTCTAAACTAGGTTGTCTAAGACAATATTTTCTCTATAAAATATTTTAGAAGTCAGAGCACAGAAATGGATATGTACAGGTAAGAGTTGTCTTTAAGACACTGTGGTGGATCCATCCTGGCACAATTTGCTGCTCTTTAAGGGACAGGGTGATTTGTCCACCACGGCTACCTGAGGAGAAAAGTCCTATTGCCCCACAAGAGGAATTATTTGTAATCATTGGGATAAGGAAAGAAAACAACTGGATTTTTGTTTGTTTGTTTTTTAAATAAAAATAATAACATCAACTTCCCACTGGGCTGGTGTGGAGGGCTGCATCAAGGCTCCTCCACAGAGCCAGGGGAAGCTCTGGGGTTTCTCTTTGGGATGATCTTCTCTGGGGCTTGCACGGACCGTCTCACCCCACATCATCTGCCTGTGCCCTGACAGCACAAATCTGTAAGAGCACGAAAAAGTGCAGGTGAATTTGTAGCACTGCGGAGGGCTGGACTCTGGCGGAATTGCCACTGCTGAGCTAAATCCCAGCAACGAGGCTTTCCTGCTCTCCCAGGGAAGGGCTTCCCACGTTCTGCATCACCAAACGAGTTCACAAGTCCCCCCAGGAATTAAACTCTGCAGGACACTCTCCTCTCTCTCCTAGGCTTGTGTTGGTTGCCTCCTCAGTCTGTCATGGAGAAGGAAGTAAATGAGACGAAAAAGATCCGAGTGCGATGGTAAGCCATTCCCCAGAGCCCCAAAGGTTTTTTGGTGGATTGAAGAGGCCCTGGAGTTTGGGGGGCAGCAACGCAGCTCACACCCTGTGGCTGCTCCCCACATGTATAGCAGAGGCAAGAGGAGGGGATGCCCGGGTCCGGCCACCCCTTTATTTGCTTGCACTGAGCCCATGCAACCTTCGATTTAACACTGATGTTCTGCCTGTGGATGACAGGAAGAAACTAGTTCAGGGTAGTTGAGACTAAAGTTTGCTCGGGAGTCGGGGAAGTGTGCCAGGGTCCCCAGGGACTGAGAGATAAAATGGCAGAGAAATTAAAGGTAATGAACAGAAAGTAATTCAGCAGGGAGGGGGGAAAAAAAAGCTGTAAAAAAAAAAAGTGCTTACAAATTGTCTCACCCCTCAGCACGGAGATCTGACTCACTGTGAACAGGTGTCTCAGCACACCAGCACACAGCTCGCGGGCAGGCGAAAGTTCCAATGAAAGGCTAAGAAACATTAGGAAATGAATGAGATAAACCCAGGAAACTAGGTGATAGATTAATTCCTGGTTCACCTAGATCGCTGTAATAGAAAAGGTGTAGAAGAGTGAAATACAGCATTGCACAGAACAATCGCTGTACAACGCAAGGCTGAACACACGTGGCTTTTTTTCAGCCCACTGAAGGTGGGACACGACGTTGTGAATTCTGCACAGAAGGTGCACTGGAAGCAGTCCCCCAGTTCGCCGTGCGTTTTCGCGATACTTGGTGGAAACGAGTGTGAGGGAAACTAAAGAGTGCTGCCTTTCTTCTGCTGCACGTGACTCCTCTGCAGAGAGCAAAGGGAAATCTAGTTTTTTTTTTTAAAAAAAAACCAAACTGGTTTGACAAAGTCTTTTAGAAAAAGTCCATCCAGGTGAAGGCTGGGGGGAGCAGATGCAACTTGTGGGTGATGAAGTGAAAGTCTGACTGATGCGTATGAGAAAGGTGTGTACCTGGGCCAGCACCACCTGACATGTGCTGCGTCACAGGCAGGATTTGGGCCCAGACAGACCCAGGTTCCCACTGCACCTGCGCCCATTCCTTTCCTAAGAGGAACCCAGTTGCACTCGGACACAATAATAACAGCGATGCAAATCATCTGACCTCTGGTTCCTCTCAGCCCTGTTGACACCAATCCTTCTCCCACCTCTTTTTCTTCTCCGATTCATTAAGGTTTGGTCTGTCCTTTGATGAAGTCCTCAAAACCGACTGGCTGGTCTACATGGACGAGCTCGCCTCCTTCATCGGTGCCAAGCCCAGTGTGCTGGGGCTGCTCTGCAGAGATCCCTGGCTGGCCCTCACCATTTTCTTCGGCCCCTCCACCCCCTCCCAGTACGGGCTGGTGGGCCCTGGGTGCTGGGGAGGGGCACGGCGAGCCATCCTCACCCAGTGGGACCGGACCTTGAAGCCCACAAGAACACGAGTCCCTGCTGGCTCCTCCAGCCCCTTCCCTTCTTTCCTGATTGTGATGGGGTTCCTCCTGCTCCTGGCTGCCATAGTTTTTGCTTTCCAGTAGATTTTAGAGTCTGTTTTGTTTTTTTTCTTGTCCTTGGGGATGTTATCTCAGGTCAGAGAGTACCACAGGGTCCCACAGGACAGGGGGAAAGGGATTTCAGCAGATCACAACAAATCTGAAACTTTAACCAGCAGCACAAACCTCTCTCTGCTCCAGCTCACCTCCAAGCACAGCTTTGCAGACCCGATTAGCCGGGGATGGCAGCCTCCCCCCGGCATTTATCACCCCTCCACTGCTCTCCTGCCCGCTGCCGTGGGCGGAGCACGGCTGTGTGGCATGGCCATGCCTGGACCACATTGGCCAAGAGGCAGCGGGGACAAGACCAGCAAAAATGGCTTTGGGTGTCACAGCCAGGAAGGAGCATGGGTATCCAGTCCTGCCCCAAATCAGCCAAGATTTGGGGTCTTTAGTCCAGCAAGGGGTTACCTGGGCTGAGTAATGCAGGTCAGGCTGTCCCTTCTTCCGACCTTAAACCTGATGACCCAAAAGTCCCAGTTTGGGTTGAAACAGTGCATTGTTCTGGCGGAGGGGCCCTGGCTGTGGTGGTTTGTCACCCCTAAGGCTGGTGCTGGTACCCCACACGCCTGAGTGCTCCCACCTCCACTTCCTTGTGCTCCCCATCACCGAACGATCCTGGGGCTTTGTTTTGTGCATGGAGGGACTTTCAATCAATAAAATTTCCTTGACTGTGGCAGGAGCGTGCTGCAGGCTGCCACCTCATTGTCTCCCTGGGTGCAGGGGAAGAGCTGGCAGGTCCCGTGCCTGGGCTGAGGGGGCTGTGCCAGCAGGTCCCTTGGGCAACCCACAAGCCTGGGGCTGCGAGGGCTTTCGCTGACCATCAAAAATGAGGCTGCTCTGTGTCACCCACCTGTGCTGTCTGCTGGCATGTGGGCAAAGAGAATGTGCTTTGCTGACTTCCCGGGATGCCAAGCAAGCGCCTGCCCAGCAGGCAGCACGTGGAGGGGGCAGATCAGGACAACCCCAAGCTGCTGCTAGGGCTGGGGCAGTGGCAAGCTGAGGTGGGGCAGTCCTTGCAAGGGCGGCCCCCTTGGGATTACAGCCCCGATTTCCACCCAGCACCACCGCGGGGAGGTTGAGAACTTTCTGCCAGTGCATTTAAGCAGAGCAGAGCCCAGGAGCACGGGTGTAAAGGTCAGTGGTGCAAGAGCCGTGGTGAGCTGCCTGGACTTCAGCCTTTCCTTTAAATCTGCAGCTGGACAAATTCGAAGTAAAGTTCGGCGGAAGCCTGAGCGGCGAAGGCACGGCACTGCCCCGCCGAGGTTTGCTCCTTGCTTCTCTCCGGCTGGGTTTTGCAGGCTTTAAAAGCGAGCAGCCAGCTCGCCGGGGTTTTGGTGCTCGCCGCTGGCTTCACCTCGCTGCTGGTGGGGGGAGAGGGGGCATCGCGGGGACCCTCCGGAGCAAAGCCATCTGTAGGCAGCGCTGGGAAAGAGGGGTGACTTTAGCAGCCCGGGCACGTCACTGCTCTTTCCCAAAGCCAAGGGAGGCTCCGGAAACGGGAAGCAGGCGAGTGTGGGTATGTCCTGTCTTGTTCCTGCAGATTGAGGAGCAGCTCAGGCTGGGAGCTTTTGGATGCGGGGAGGTGGGTTTGCGTCCCCTTTGCTTTTCACTGTATTTCTGCAGTTTCCTCCAGCTCCTGTTCAAGTTAACTTGCTTTTTTGACACAAAAATGGGTTAAAACCAAGTTATAACTAACTCTTTTTTCAGGCTTTGCAGTGGGAGTGTTTGTTATCTAATCAAAGCTCACACAGGTTCATTTTTTCCCTAGTTTCTCTGCTTTCCAGTCAAGCTCTGGGCAGCTCAGTTTACATGCCCCGAGCTTTGAGTTCCTCCCATTTATAACCTGCGTTTCCTGGGTTTCTTACCTTTTGTGAATTCTGTAATCCCAGCTGCGGCGTCACGGTGCTGTCTAACTTCTGAATCGCTGCGCCGCACTCCTGCTCAGTCAGGCATTGCTCTTTTTTAAAAAAAAAAACAACAACCCAAACCCACCCTTTTTGTTTTCGAAAAAATGCCCTTTAACAGGAAATTAAAAAGGGAAGCATGAAAACAAGCCAGCTTAGCTGAAACTGTTCCTTGAAAAGGCTTCAGGAGGATCACTTTGCACAGGCAGAAAGCTGCGAGCCCTTTCCCTGACTTTGCATGCCCTGGTTTGGGCCAGGAAAGGGAATAAATAGAAGCAGCAGCTCAACAAGGTTTAAAAGTGCCTCCTTTTCCCCTACCTGTGGAAGGGGAATCGCTGGGCCCTCGGCATGGGTTTAGCACAGCAGGAAGGGTAATGAGCAGCTTCCATCCATAACGTTCAAGTCAGGAGCTAGCGATGGCTTTCTCCAAGGATGGTTCTCCTCCACGGACACCTGCAACCACAGAAAACAAGGGGTGTTTTCCCAGGGATGGGAAGAAGGGACTGACGTTTTGCTAATCCCTGGGCTGTTTTATTTCCAGTTGGTCAGACGCCAGCCTGTCGCCTGCTGCGGGACAGCATGGTGCGGCGTGTGGCCATTATCGGGGCCGGGGTCGGCGGGTTGGCCTCCCTCAAGTGCTGCCTGGATGAGGGGCTGGAGCCCATCTGCTTCGAGAGGAGCGAGGACATCGGGGGGCTCTGGCGCTACACGGTCAGTGGGCTCTGACTGCGTGGGGAGGATTGTCCCTGGGTTTGTCCCCTCCCTCGGATGCCCTGTGCCTGCAGCAAAGAGGTGGCCATGTCCTCAGGGAATGTCCCTGTCCCAGGCACGGGGCTCCCACCAGCTCCCAGGTGGAGAAGGAGATGGAGGGAGCAGAAGCCATGGTCACCAGGAGCTAGTCCTGGTTTATTCCTTGTGCCTGAATACAAGGAGGAAAAATACCTGAATACTTTGAGGGGAGAAAGTCCTTTCTCGCACACCTGCAAACAGCATGGCTGACTTCACACAGGACTCCACAGACGGCGGGAGGGTCAGTGTGTACCGCTCAATCATCACCAACACCTCCAAGGAGATGTCCTGCTTCAGCGACTTCCCCTGCCCAGAGGATTTCCCCAGTTTCCTACCCCACCATCTCCTTCTGGAGTACTTTCGGATGTATGCCCGGCACTTCGACCTGCTGCGGCACATACGCTTCAAGGTGAGTGGGGGCCCAAGACACCACGGGGAGAAGGTCCATCAGTGGCTGCAGATACAAGGGCATTGCCCAGGCGGGATAAGACAACACCGGGTGCGATCCCACGAGGACCACATGCCTTCTTCATCCCGAACGCGGCCTTTTCGGCTCCCTGTTTTAAATTGGGCTGCTCAAATGTGGGCTGCCTGGTCCATCCCCTCCCCAGTGCCATCCCCAGGGGAAAGGTGCAGGATGGGATTTAACAGCTTCAGAGGTGACACGCAGCCCCACGGGGACCCGGTCTGCCCCTGGCAGCCCCTGCCCTTCGCAGGCAGGTCCTCTGAAACGCAGCGCAGTCCCTGACTGCTGTTTTGTTGGACTTTGGTGCAAGACGACAGTTCTCAGCGTGAGGAAGCGCCCAGATTTTGACACCTCAGGCCAGTGGGACGTGGTCACTGAGACCGACGGCATCCAGGAGTCACACGTCTTTGATGCCGTCATGGTTTGCATCGGCCATTACCAGAAGCCCAACTTACCTTTGGTTTCTTTCCCAGGTAAGCCCTGCCTCGGCAGTGGGATGGGCTGGGGCTGCTCCCTGGGATTTCACCCAGCATCCATGGGTCCTTCAGCTGCATTTTGCTTTGTGAGCCTGCCTGCTCCACGAAGCCCCCATGCCAGGGCAGGCTGGACCCTCACCCCATGGGAATGGCCGTGAGCATTACTGGGAATGGGAAAAACGCATTGTAAAGAGGCAGCCAGGCATAAGAATTTGCAAAGCAGGACCTAGACAAGGAGGTGCAGGAGGGTGGCATCGCCCAGGGAGCCAAGACCTCCATGGGCTTCTCAGCTGCAAGGAGAAGCAGAAGGTTCAGGCATGAGGTTGGGGCAAGCAAACGTATCTGGTGGTAGGAGATGCTCTCTGCCTAGGTATTGAGACCCGCTTCAAAGGCCAGTACCTCCATAGCCAGGAATACAGAGATGCGGAGGCTTTCCGGGGAAAGCGGGTCCTCGTGGTTGGCATTGGCAACACCGGCGGTGATCTCTCCGTGGAGCTGAGCCGTGTGGCTGCGAAGGTATGGCTCTGTGGCAGCGCGGAGCCCGGCCGGGGACCATGAGAGCTGGTGGCTTGGGGTACAGGCAGCAGACTTTGCCCGCTGAGTTCTTAATAAATAGACCTTCAGATTAGAGGCAGTTGAAGAAGCTCTGCATTTCCTGGAGGGTTTGGGCTACCTGAGGAGCACAGTGGTTGTTCAGCAGCTGCGGGAACTTTGCAGAAGCTACCACAAGCTGTCGGGTTCATTCGGTCGCAGGCTCCTTCTTTCGGGAAAACCCTCTCAGCTCCCAAGTGCAGGAGATGGGATTTGCCATTTGGGGCAAAAATTGGCAATGAGATGTGTGGGCAGGAGGCTGAGACCTGCCTTCTCCCTCAGGTGTTCCTTAGCATCAGGACCAACACGTGGGTGTTCAGCCGGGTCTCAAACCACGGCTTCCCCACTGACATGGTCAACAACACTCGCTTCAACCACTTTCTCGACTGGCTACTCCCCCCAGCCCTCACAAAGTGGATCAAGTTTCGGAAGTTCAATTCATGGTTTAACCACGCAAACTACGGCCTGGCTTCTACCAAAAGGTGTCCTTTCTGACTATTTTGCTGGTTCATCCGGGGGTTTTAATGGCATGAAATTCTCAATGTTTAATTTCAGGGGATATTTGTGGAATAGCAAACCATTGGAGGGGAATTTTGACCACAAAAGATGTTTTGGGTCTCTCCTAAATGCTAATATTCCAGTCCTCTTCTTTTCCACCTGCAAGCTCCAACTTTAAGATAATTATCAATGAAGAGCTGCCATTTTGCCTCCTCTCTGGGACCATCGTGTTGAAGCCAAATGTGAAGGAGTTCACTG